CGGAGCCTCCCCCATCCCACCCCACCCGGCCCCCGCTCCTCCCCTCCCCGGGGCCCCCGTACCCGCGGGCCGCCCCTTCTCCCCAGGGTCCGCGCTCCCTCCGGCGAATGAAGGATGGGTCTCCCCACTCGGCGACCGCACCCCGCCTCGGCCCTGAGGGTCGTCCGTTTCGGGGCCCGCCCCCTCCCCGTGTGAGATCCCCGCTCCCTGCAGTCCTCTACCCTTCCCCTTCTCCACCCCACCTCTCCATCTTCGCTCTGCACATCCCAGGGTCCCCGAGGCGCCCTTGGCTCCTTTGTTGTCACATCTGCTTCTGCTGCGACCTTGGGACAGTGGCCCTAATGGCCACGCGAAAAGTCAGAGCGGCTTTCTAGCTGGGCTGACCCAGACAGCCCAGGAGAACTCAGGTGGAGGTCCCCAAGACCACGTGACGAGGCTGCCTGAGCCCATAAGCACCTAAAGGACACAAGATTGGGAGGTCCTGGAAATGGGACCATGGTGTTCGGATAGGATTTCTAATTTACCTGTTGGACTTCCCCAGGGCATTTGAAAGTTCCTCCCGGCCTCTGAAAGGAGAACAGAGGAGCATGGAAGGTCCAGAGGACAAAGGAGGGGCAGAGAACCCCGCCCCACTCCCCACCTCGTCCCGAGGAAGTACAGGACCAGGTAGATAACCTGGAAGGTGGTGGTGATCTAGCAGAAGGCTGGATTTAGAATTCTAGTTCCCTTTCATCACCAGTGTGGTGCACAGCATGCAAGAGTCTGAGAGACCTCATGGATGACTTCTAACTCCCGACAGGAACACCAGCTCCTTTCTCCCCATCTGAATTACACATAGTGCGCCCAGGCGAAAGATGAAGTCAACAAATACAGACTGGGCCTTCACCTGCACAAAGCAGAGGTGAAGTGCCATAGAGGAGGGTGTTTGCCCTACAGATCAGCAACTTCAAGCTAACGCAACACACAACTATATAAGTGAACTTAAGGGCAGCTTAGATGGGAGAGAGCTTACTTGCAAATAAAAATGAAACAAAAGATTTTAATGTAAAACTTGAAAGTTAAGAAACAAGAAGGACAAATACAGGGAGATGTAACGTGGAAACTGGGATTTGTCTGTTTCTTTTCCTGTTGTGATGGGGGAAGGGGTTTTTCTGGCTCAGTCCAGTAGTCCATCATGACAATCAGAGTGCAGAGAGGGATGAAGGAATGCACTCAGCTCACTTTTTTGCTTTCTGGGTGGTCCAGGATCCTATCCCAGGGTATGGTGCTACCACAGTGACCCTGTCTTCCCAACTCAATCTAATTAAGCAGTTCTCCCCACAAGCATGTCCAGAGACTAATCTACATAATCCCTCACAGGTGCTCAAAAGTCCAGTCTTCTAGATGATCCTAGAGTCTCATCAAGTATACGATTGAGATTAAGTACCACAGGTTTCAAGATGGAAACGGGATAACAATTTGGAAGACAGGAAGTACGTTAAGGTTCTTCCTTTATTCTAATTGGGCTTGAGAGCAGTGCAAACGAAACAGGAGTTAGGAGTGAAAGAGAGACAGCGGCATATGGAGAAGAAAGGATTAGAGGTAAACTCAATCTCTCTGGCCCTCCGTTTCCTCACTTGGAAGTGAAGAATAACAGTGCCCAACTGCCTGCATACCGCGAACCAAGAACTATGTCAAGTGATGGGAATCTACTGAATCATTCATTTATTCACCAAATAAAGCTGCCTTGCTGGTCACTATACTCAGCTCCCAGACACTGGCACGTGGGGGAAAAGTTGGGGGTTATAAGCCTTATGAGGCCCAGTAAAGTATGTAGCTATAGGTTAGAAAAAAGCCCCAATCTAGAGACACCTGACTTTTGACAGTAAGATGAAGCAGAAAAAACAAAAACAAAAACTTTCAAGTATTGGAAACCTTGAGAAGCATTTCAGAAAGAGTGGTCAATTTAGAAGCCGGGGAATGATTGGCTAACTGGAATTTTTGAAGAGGTCCTAGTAGGGAGGTGGTTTCAGAAACTAGGTTGAAGTGAATGAAAGAAAGTTAGAGAAGGGCTAGGGATTGGAGGGAGTGGGGAAGACAACCCAGAGGAGTTCTATTACAGAAGTAAGTACAGAGGTGGTAGTTTGGGGGCAGAGACACACGTTCGTGTGAAAATGCACCTTAGAAAGGGGGAAGCCATGGCAACAGAGAAAGTAATGCTGTTGGAAGGCAGCCTGTAAGGAGGTAAAAGGATGGGGCCTTGGAACAGTCGCCGTTACAGGAGACAGTGAGCAGCAGGAGTGACTAGACATGGGAGCAAGCCCAGAGTTTCTCCTCAGAAACCTTGTATTGCCTCTTTAAGATCAGCAGCTGAAAGCGAAGGAAAAGGCCTCTCCATAGTAAGTTTAAGAAAGGCGTGAGTGCAGAGAGCAGGAAAGAAAACTTCTACGAAGCCAACTGAGGATGACCCACTTGGGACTGAAGCAAACTGTCTGACTTTATGGTGTTCTTCGCCACAGTCGCTACTTAGATTTAGATATGGACAAAACTGAGTAACCACTTCATTCAGGAAGTTGTTTTCCCAAACAAGGAAGCAGAATGAAGAAATTCAGAATGTTTCTAGAGAATTGACTATACCGGTGGGCCATGAAATATAATTTGATCAATGAAGATGAGAAAGCTATAAACAATAAAAAGGACCAATAAGTTGGTTAATTAAATTGGAGTAGCTACAACAGAAAGGGACTGCATGAGAATAACTTGTTTAAAATCAAGAATTTAAAGGCTGGAGAGATAGTAAAGTGTTTACCTTGTAAACACAAGGGCCTGTGTCCAAATCCCAGAAGAACATTAAAAAAAAAAATTAGGCATGATGGTGGCACACTTGTAATCCAGTGCTGGTGAGGTGGAAAAGTGGATCCACCCAGGCTAACCATCAAGTCTTGGGCCAATAAGAGATCCTGTTTTGTTTTAAAACTTATTTTTACTATTTTTAATTGTGTGTAAGGGGAAGGTGTGTGTGCATATGAGTACAGGTGCCTACAGAGGCCAGAGAGCTCAGTGGCAGCTGTGATGAGCCACCCAGCCTGAGGGATAAACACCTAACGGGTCCTCTGCAAGAGCAGTGTGTGTTCTTAATTGCTGAGCCACTGCTCCAGCCCCTTGCTTTTTGTATTGAAAGGTGATCCACATTTATACAACATGTTTTGTTTTGTTTTGTTTTGTTTTTCTCACTGCAGAAGTAGGAGAAAACAGAGCTGCATTTGCTGTCAGTCTACAAACTAGGAAACAGAATCCCCACTGGGCACTGACCAGTTGACAGGCTTTCAAAGAACCATTATGCTTACTATGTAGAGTTATTATTGTTGTTTTCCTTCAAAATTCGTATACTGAAGCCTTAAACCTCAACATGATACTACTTGGAAGTAAGGCCTTTGGGAGGACTCAGGTCCTCAGATGAGGATTCAGATGAGGACATGAGGATGAGGCTTCCACAATGGGGATCAACATCCTTATGAAAGTCAGAAGACACAAAAGATATACCCCTCCCTGCTCCTCTTCTTCCTTCTCTCTCTTTATCTCCTTCCTCCCTTTCCCTTTCTCTCACCATAAAAACCGGAGAAACAGGCAGTCCACCCAGTAGATGTTCAGATTTCTTATAATAACCAATGTAAACATTTATGTAACATTCAAGGTATTTGACCTTTACAGTTCCTTAAGGACAGTGGTTGCATTGCTACAGAAGTCACAGTGGTCTGGTGACTTTTGGGGAAGGGCACTAAGTCAGTCTTGCAGTAAAGTGTCTGCTCTCTGTAACACTCCCAGCATCTTGTTACATTCCGACCATTACCATGCCATCACTCAGAACTCCCCAGTGTCTTCTTCTCCAGGAGCTACACTGAAGCCAGTACCAAGACCACTGCCAAGCTGTGCTCCGCCTCTGCCCTCTCCACTTGGCAGCACTGCCCTGGAATGACTGCTTGCGTCCCAAGTTGTTATGCTGAAGCACTGAACTCTGTTGTTGGAAGGGGGTTGCTGGGGATGAAACCCAGGGCCTCAGCCTTCCAAGCAAACACTCTACTGCTGAATCACACCACTAGGTACTCCCTCAAGCCTACACAGCCCTTGGTAGATAGTCCCAGTGTGGACATCAGACCCACTCTTTCCATTCTCTTGTAAGTCACAGTAGATTCCAGCCCAGTCAAACCAGAGTCAGATGACAGAAAGCCTGGATTCTTGTCACATTCCTAGGAAATGCATTTTTCTTTAAATAATTATTTGGGTTTTTTCAGTTCTTGTATCTAAATGAGCCTAACAGACCACTCAGTGGAAAAGCCACTCATTTGTATTTTGAATGGAGAAGGAGGAATTTAGATAAGAAAGCACTAATACTTACACATCTTTCCTTTAAGCTTAGGGATTCCTTTCAAAAGAACAAATATGAAATATTAAAACACCTCTCAAAATGCATCTGTCCTTGTAAGTTTCCCAAAATGTATCTTGCACTTACATTACTTGGGACTTCAGGTTAATTTCCTATGGCAAGTCTTAATTTTATTTTATTTTCTGAGACAGGTTCTCATGTAGCCCTTGGCTGTCCTAGAACTCACTATGTAGACCAAGCTGGCCTAGAACTCAATATGTAGACCAGGCTGACCTGGAACTCACAGAGATCCACCTCCCTGTGCCTCCCAAGTGCTGAGATTAAAGGCTCATACCACCAAGCCTGGCTACCTAATTTTCTTAAATCTAAAAAGAATAAATATCCCTCTGTATTGGAATCTATAAAAACCCATACCTACCTTTCCTACTATTTGGGGGTAATACACTGTTAATAAATAAATATAACTGGCTTTTAATTATTTGTAAGATAACACATGAGACTAACAAATCTGTACATGTGATTTATTTTGAAAAGGGGTGTGTGTGAAACTGTTTTAGTCCTGAGCTATTCACAATAGAGAGCAAATACCAAAACCAATGCCACGTAGGTCTCTGTTTCATGTTTAGCTTGTACCCAGCTGTCCCATGCCACATCCCAGATCCATCTGCTGGCAATCTGTGAGAAAAAATTTAAAAGATTCAGATGGGATATGTTAAGTAACTTTTAAATTACATAGTTAGATTTTTTTTTTAATATTGTGCCAATGTCTAAGAAAGTTGTATTTAAGAAATAATTTGTTAGGCTGGGTGGGGTAACTCAAATTATACACACCTGCCCAGTGTGCTCAAAGCCCTCAGTTCCATCCTAGCTCTATGAGGAAAATCTAGAGGTTGGAGCAATTGCTCAGCAGCTAAGAACATGTATTGTTTCCAGAAGAGCCAAGTTCAAGTCCCGGCACCCACATCAAATGGCTTACAACCACCTTACCTTGTAACTCTTACCTCTAGAGAAATCTGTCACCTCTGGCCTCCTCATGGACCTTCACTCATGAGCACACCCCCATGCCCCAAGTACACACGTGATTAAAAAATATTTTTAAGGGTATGCCCAATTTTCCTTTCATAGAGAGATTCAAGAGTAATACTGCTTGGCTTCCTCCTTTGCTGGAGGCTGGTGGTTGCCTTACAGTAAATCCTAGGCAGGAACCAAGGGCTCCATCATGGAGCCCAGCAGCACTGACTATAGACCAGTCAGTGCTCCAGACCACGCTTCTTGCCACACTTAAAAATCTTCTGCCCAAAGCTTGTCAGGGTCTTGTCTGGCAGCAATGGTGCTGTTTGTGTAATCAGGCCATGGCTCCTTTGTGGTGCCTCCAAGGACAAGGCTTACTGTCTGTGATGGATCCAAAATGGCCACACATTCTTTATGACAGGAACTGGAGGCAGGAGCTGATTCAGAGGCCCTGGAGAAGCGGCTTACTGGCTTGCTCAGCCTGCTTTCTTACAGCACCCAGGACTACTGGTCCAGGGGTGACGCCACTCCCAATGGGCTAGGGTCTCCCACATCAATCACTAATTAAGGAAATGCCCTACAGGCTTGGCTACAGCTAGAACTTATGGAGGCATTTTTTCAACTGAGGTTCCTTCCTCTCTGATGACTTTAGCTTGTGCCAAGTTGACATAAAACTAGGAAGCACAATTGAGTCTTTTCAACATGACACATAAACGTATCACTGTCAAGCTATACCCTTTCCTTTCTTGTTCATCCCTAAAAATCATACATCAATAACAACATCACAATATAAATATAACATTCTTCATTACCTAACATGCCCAAATGAAACTTACTGGTTAATTAATATTTATTTTGATGTTTTTGAGACAAGGTGTCTCTATGTAGCCCTGGCTGTCTTGGAACTCACTATGTAGACCAGGCTGGCCTTGAACTCACAGGGATCTCTCTGCCTCTGTCTCCTGAGTGATGGGATTTAAAGTGTGTACCATTACACCTGGCTTACTGGTTAATTAATTTAAATGACATTTAAATTATCAAAATTTCAGGGCTGGAAAGATGGCTCAGCAGTTAAGAGCAGGGACTACTTTTCCAGAGGACCCAGGTTCAATACCCAGCACCCACATAGCAACTCACAACTGTCTGTAATTCCTGTTCCAAGGGACCCGACACCCATGGCAAAACACCAATGCACATAAAATAAAAAATTTTTTAAATTATCAAAATTGCTATGACCAAGAAACAGGCTATGAAATCTAGTAAATTATTGATAGCAAAATTGTATTTCTATGGTAGTACTTTTCAAATAATTTGCAATGAAAAACAGTTTTTTTTTTTTTTAACAAAATGATCTTCGTATTCAAGTGGCCCTTCAGGATCTCTACATCCCTGGGGACACCTCAAATCTCAAATGAATGGATGTTAGGTCATCGGGGCACTTACATTTATTGCTTGACCAGTCTTTTGAATAAATAATACTTTTATAATGAATTTATAACGGAAGTACCCCAGTTCTTTGACTGCTGCCAATACTCGGTCCGCCAAGTCAAGTGATATATGAGAGAAGGCTTTTTCATCATATTTGAGGTCTTTAAGACTGTCCTTTAAAGAAAGTTAAGAAAAAAGTTTCAATTTTTAAACAAAATGTTTTTATATAAGTAGAAAACATGTATCTAAATAATACATACAACTGATTTAAAATATGCGTATTCCTGAAAATTACCATATATTATACTTACCAATTTAATTGTTTTCAAAATTATGTCCAATTGTCAAAAGCCAGATTTGATGGCACATGCCTTTAATTCCAGCACACAGGCTGCCAGGGCACGTACATGGCTCTCTATAGTTCTAGGCCAGCCTGGCCTATACAATAAGTTCAGGCCAACCAAAGCTACCATAGTGAAACTCTGTCTTAAAAGAATTAGATTCAACACCGTTCATGATCAACACTTGGGCTGTAAGTTTCTGCTTATGAGGCTAATATGTCAACTTACTGTAAATAACTCAGTTTCCATTTCTCACTAGGGAGAAAAAAGAATTTCAAAAGCTTTCTGGAAATTGATAGTAAAGAAAGGAAAACTGTGTGCTTATGATTTCATGTTCCAAATGCAGGTGTGATCTGGACCAAGGTGGCTTCATGTCACTGTCTTCTCTGGGTTTCTCATTCCTTATGGCATCAACAACTTAGCATCTTTACTAATAAACTAACACATGTGAGGAAAAGAGACGTGGCTCACAGACCATGAAGCAGGAGCCTTTCTTTAAAAACAAATCAGATTTACTTTAAATGTATGAATATTTTGCCTGCATATATGTGTGTGCACCACATGTGTGCCTGGTGCCAAAGGAAGCCAGAAGAGGGTGTTGGATCTCCTGGAATTGGAGTTTTAAATAGTTGTGAGGCACCATGTGGATCCTCTGGAAAAGCAGCCAGTGCTCTTAACCACTGAGCCATGTCTTCATCTCAGGAGCCTTTCTTACAAACCATGAGCAAAGCTGAACCTATGAAGGAGCTGATCACAATGTGCTTGATTAACTGGTTTCCTGGGAGTACGCCCAGGACTGCACACTGAGCTCCAGTGACAAGTGGATTACTACCAATCAACTTCATAGGAACAAAAAGTCAAGTAGATGTCCTCCCTCAATGCTCCTGCACCCTGCTAGTTCTACCCTTTTTCCTCTCTTCTCCCTCCTGACTTCTCCTATTGGCTCCCTGACAGGTTCCTTCCATTTATACAGCTGGTCTAAGGCCCGCATCTGGTCTTCTATCTATTGTTCCAATACTGAGTATCAGCTGCTTTCTTCTGAATCTAACTCAAGTTCAAGGTAAGTCTTCTCTCAGAGTAAACCCAACCCATTGCTTGTCTGTCTAGGAGTCTCTCCAACTCCATATTCTGACTGTAACTCTGGCCTCAGGACCCAGGGGCGGCTTCTGTAAATGAGGTTCATCCCTAGCCCATTTATTCAATTGTGTTTAATTTTGTTTATGTGGTAGGGTCAGGTGACAGACCAAAAATGTACACTCTTATATCACACATACTATTAGTATTGATCAGAATTCCTTTCCCAAACCATAAGCTATAATATCTTTGTCAAATATCAATTAATTTGAAATACATAGTTAACAGTGGAGGGATGGAAGGTTCAGAACATGCCATGTTAAAATATGCTGCTTTCTCATAATTTTGACCCAAAAGTACTTGAAAAAATTGTGGATGCAGTAGCTTGCTCTTCCTTTTTCTTTCCCCTGAAAGTAGGAGATAAAGCTCTCGTGAAAAGGGTCCTCTCCAGTCTCAGAGACAGAAGAGGAAATAGGCACACCACTTCTTCAACTAGCCTTACTTTACTAGGCACCTTCCTGGGATAACCTGCCTCAGACCAAACACCTTTAATTATACTTTCAAATTTTTCTATTCTGTATCCCAACTAGTATAAAGAGCTTGACTCCACCTTTCCATGCCTTTGTTTTCTGCATGAAGTCTTCTGTATATAGGTAAAAGTGACTAAAGTTTGCTTTTCTCTCCATTTGCCTTATAGCAGTTTAATTTTAGGCAAGGTGGAAATCTACAGAGAGAGACATATCTCCTGTAGCTAAGGGGCTGCAGCTGCTGGAAATCAAATGTTGACCCTCAGCATGCAGATGAAAACGGAGCTTCTGGTCATACGGGTTGAGAATGGGACCCATACATTGACTGATGGAGTGTGAACTCAAGTCCATTTCACATAGCAAACATCAGGTTCTCCAACCCATCCTGAGCCAGTTATGGAACTAGCATGATTAGAACAGACATACTTAGCAGCTGGCAGAATATCGACATTGAGTCCTTTAACTGTGAAGTAAGAGCTTTTATTGAAGAAAACTTCCACAATGCAAACATTTAGAATTATATCTACCTTACTCAAAAATACATGGTATCATGAAGGGGCTGTATAAAGCACTGCCATTGTGATTGTTACCATGGCCTCTTTTCAATCCATCCATTTGGCTGTTCTGTAAACTTGGCCAGGCAGCATCTACAATTGTAGCTGCTACATGGGACATGGTTTCACTGCTTGAGCAAAACCTTTTGGTACCACCTATGTAGTTACCGACAAGAAAAAAAAAATACCTTTTTCTCCATACCTATCCATGAGAGTCACTAAAACCAGTTTGCTTTCAGCTAGCAAAGCCAGAAACGCACCTTTCTTGTCCTATCTGAGGTGTACCAGCTATCCAGCCCCATAGTAGGACAGGCCCATAGGGTTGAGGAAATTGGCTCAGACCAGTTGCCAAGGCATGCCCATAATGTACTTCCTTATGAGCCAACCTGGAGTCTGCCTGAGGACCTAGCAACAGGTGTTGTCAGAGTTCCTGATCGTGCCCAGCCAATGAGGGACGACCATGCAATGCCACCAGATTGTGGCACAGACTGGGTGCTGGGAGGAGGGTATATAAGTCCTTCCCCATTATTAAATAAACAAGTTTGCTGTCTGCCTTCAACTGACTCCGGGTGTCTGGTGATGCCACACCTTCTCACCCCCTCCCCCGAGGGAGCAGTTAGGATATAACAACACAGGCCCATGTCAGAATTTAGTTTACAGGGAACTTGGCTATCTTTCCCTTTAGGTTCACACTGAATTCAACAACTACTCAGAATTGTAGGATCATTTAACCTCTATATATTTAAGGTTAGTCCCTATAGTGAATACACACACACACACACACACACACACACACACACACACGTATGCGTGCGCACACACACACACACACACACACACTCACTCACACACCCCTTCCTTAATAGATCTGATCATATGACTTATTTTGGCTTAGAATGGTCTCATATGTGCTAGATAAGTGCCTATCACTGAACTATATCCTTGGTCCCTGATTACCTTTAATATCTGCTGGATTTTAGTTTCTACTGGATGTGCTTGGAATTTCCTCAACGGCTCCATTCTATATGAATTAGCAAACTTTAATTTTGCCAGGGCACTCTTCCATTCTTTACCTATATCAGCAATTGAATCGTCAAATGGAGGTTCCACATACTGAACATCATGGAAAGATTCTCTCAATCTTTCTCTTAAGATCTGTGCATACTGAAAGAGGAAGGGAGAAAGATTACATTTCAGACTTGAAGAATCTGCATACAGTGGAGGCAGAGCTAACAAGCCTGAAATAATCTAGGCAGACTTCTATGCAGTCACTAAATCTTAGACTATTAACTGCAAATTATTAACAGTTTCTATCATCAATTTGAGACTAAATAACCACCTGAGAGAGAAGCTTTTGGGCTTGCCTATAGAGGATTATTTTGATTTGATTAACTAAAATGAGAAGACCTACCCACTATGGGAGGCACCATTCCCTAGGAAGGGATCCTGAACTGCATAAGAAGGAGACAGTGTGCGGAGCACAAGTAATCACTACTCTCTGCCTCCTGAGTGTGGATTTAATGTGATCAGCCACCTCAGACCCCTGCTGCCATGACTCACCTGTCTTGGTGGACTGTACCCTGGGACCATGAGGCAAGCACAAACTCTTTCTCTATTAAGCCACTTTTGTCAGGTTATTTATCACAGCAACAGGAAAAGTAACCAAGACATACAGAAATATACAAACTTGTGTACATATATTCAGAATACCTACAAAATATCCCAAAGGACCAGAAACAAGAGTAGCCTCCAGGGAGTGGCTGAGGGATAAAGATAAAACAGCTTTTCATGCTTCCCTCCTGCCAGCAATTATGGAGCTATTGCCCATAATTTTAGTTATCTTTACATAAGTAACAGATTAGGTAACACATTTATAAATCTTAACTTGAAAAGATAACAAAAGCATATAAATATTTGTGTGTAAACATATTATATATGTATCAGTCCATTTTTGACATGTAGTATATATCAGTCCATGATTTTTGACATGTAATTTTTTGACATGATGCTCCCTTCAGAAGTATCCAATTTGTACTAATAAAGTAATTATTTAGTGCCCCATGGGTGTGTCCACCCTGGGACTGACTGGTGGGCTGCATGCACCCCAGGCTGTGAACACTGTGCAAACAATGCAGCATGTCTGCAGGTGACAATGCCGTGCAGCGGTTTCAAATCACTGGACAACACTGCAGCCGCTCCTGGAGTAATGTCTAGTCCCTTCACTTAGAGTGGCGAGCTTCATTTTCCTAGTAACCAGGAATGCCTTTTTTGTACCTACTTGCTTGGCTAGAATTTGCAGTTTCGTGTTGACTAGAAGTGATGAAGACATGTTTGCCGTAGTCCTATTGGAGGACAAATTTTTAGTCTTGTACCACTGAATATGATGTTGGCTATGGGCTTTTAATGCAATGATTTTTTTTTTTTTTTTTTTTTTTGGTTTTTCGAGACAGGGTTTCTCTGTGTAGCTTTGTGCCTTTCCTGGAGCTCACTTGGTAGCCCAGGCTGGCCTCGAACTCACAGAGATCCGCCTGGCTCTGCCTCCCGAGTGCTGGGATTAAAGGCGTGCGCCACCAACGCCCGGCTAATGCAATGATTTTTAATGTTCTAATAATTCCAGTTATTGTTTTATTCAGTATTTTTATCATGCAAGGGTAAATTTTGACAAAAATTATTTTTCTTATCAATGGATACTACTTCGTTGTATGTACTACTACATTGGTCGACTTTTATATGATGACCTATCTTTGCATTCAGGAAAACTTGGTCACAGTGTATAATTCTTTGAATTGAATACTGATGCTAATGCTTTTTCTAGGGTGTTTGTTTTTTTGCATTAATATTCATAAGGGCTATTAGTTTTCTTTTTTAGTTTAATTACATTTATTAATTTATTTACCATCAGGTGGTAGTGTATGCTCTGGTAGATACATGAAAAAGTAACTAAGACACACATAAACTTGTGTACATATATTTGTATACTATTCTAACTTCATAGAAGTTCACTGAGGTATATGGACTTTGGAACTGGTTAATTTCAGTGCATGATATATTTATTTGCAAGTTTTTATAATAAAATTTGCTGAAAGTTAAAAAAAATTCTAGGGTTGGAGATCATACCTAGGGCCTCATGCATGGTAGAAAGATGTTCTTCAAGAGCCAGATCCAGCAGTGTCCATTTTTTTGACAGACATATTACTGAAATTTCCCACTATAATGTTAGTATATTGATCCTTTAAACCTATACATTTTCCTCTCATATATTTTGATGCCGTATCACTAGTTGTATATTTGCAAGAACTGATATGTTTTCCCAGGCAACTGGCCCCATCCTCATTATGCAATGCCTCACTTCATTCCTGGTGACTTTACTTGCTTTGATTTTTGCTCTGTCTGAAGTCTATTGCTACTCCTACTTAATTTTGATATTAGTGTGTCTTTCCCCACCCATCTCCTTTTATGTATGTGTATTTTAAGTGACCTTATTGTTGTAAGGTTTAAACTAAGACTAACACAATTGAGCCTTAGTTTAATCCACTCTAACAAGTGCTGTTTTTAAACTGCTGTACTCAGACTAATGACATTCAGAGTGATTATTGGTATGACTGGATTAATATCTATCATATCTGTTACTCTTTTCTATTTGATGCCCTTGTTCTTTGTTTTCTTGCCTTCCATTCTGTTCAACTGTAATTTAAACTGAGCATTTAATATGATTCCTCTTCTCTAGTTTCTTAGTGTGTTACTTATTTTTCCTCCACCTCCTCTACTTCCTCTTTTAACCCTAAAGTTTGGAAATAAGCATTTGCAGCTAATCCAAACCCACTTTCAACTAACACTGTGACACTTCATGGATAGCATCAATTAAAATAACGAAATAACTCAAATTCTTTCCTCCTGTTCTTTTTGTCATGCTGTCATTCATCTATAACACATACACATTAACATACACACTTAACATGCATTCATATGCAAACATAATTTTATGTCTTTCCTGTTATTTTTAACAAATCATTATCTGTTAGAATAAAAAGAGAAACATTAAAGGTTTTTTAATTAACCTTTATTTAGTCTTTCTTTGATGCTTTTTTATGTAGATTCAAATTTCTGTCACTTTTTTATTTAAAAAATTAACATTTTGTGTAAGGCAGATTTATTGGAGATACAATTCTTCAATTATTTTGTCTAAAAACATCATTTTTTCCTCATTTGAGAGTAGTTTTGGAGGGTATGAAATCCCAAGATGTTGGGGCTGAAGAGATGGCTCAGTGGCTAAGAGCACTGGCAGCTCTTCCAGAAGACCTGGATTCAGTTCCCAGCACCCACATGGCAGTTCACAACTGTCTGTAACTCCAGTTCCAGGGGATCAGACACCTTCACACAGATATATATGCAGGCAAAATGCCAATGCATATAAAATAAATAAATATCCTAAGTTGTCACTTTTCTTCTCTGAATACTTTTACTTCACTCTATTCTTCATTATTTTTGAGAATATGAATGTAATTTTCTCTTATAGGTAGTATGTTTTGTCTTCGGGCTTCTTTTTGGATTTTCTTCATCTTTAATTTCTGTAGCTTGAGACTATATGCCTACATATAAATTTTGTTTTGGCTTGTTTTCTGCTGTGTTTTCTGACTTTCCTGGCACTGTGGAATAGCCTCTAATTCATAGGTCTTACAATATTTCTTATAATCCATTCTCTATCTGGGATTTCCATTATGAATAATTTACAACTTCTATAACTGCCTCAAAGTTTTCAAACATTCTCCTCTTCTTTTTCAGTCTGTGTTCTTTTTTCATTTGTTTTGGATATTTCTATTGATACTTTTATTCCTGTAATGTATGGTTCTTGCTTGCTCTCTTTGGGGTGTTTACCATTCAATATGCCTTATAATTTTTTCTTGCTAGCCAAACCAACTTATGGTGTCAGAACTTCTGTAAAAGGTCTCCAGTAATGTGGCTGTAATGCATGTGAGAACAAGATGTAGTTTAGATATTTTTTAAAAGTTTTTCAAGACAAGGTTTCTCTGTGTAACAGTCCTAGCTGTCCTGGAACTCACTTTGTAGACCAGGCTGGCCTCCTCAAACTCAGAGATCTGCCTGCCTCTGCCTCCCCAGTGCTGGGATTAAAGGCGAGCGCTACCACCACCTACCTACCTGTAATCTAGATCTTCTGATTAGGTCTCAGGTCTTCAATGGGTCTGTGCCTCTGGACTGTGAATTTCTAAAATGTTTCTCAAATATTTCATGCCCCGCCTTCTCTCTTCCCTAAAAACAGAAAAGCTAGAAAGGGCTGGAGCTGGCTCCCTTTTGATAGTCACACTTTGCAAAACATCAATATCTTAGGTCTAGTTTACTAGTTTCTCAAGAGGGCAGATTTTGTGAAGAACAAAGTGCTCTGATATATTTAAACACACACACACAATATCTATATTAAGAGTTGTCTTAATATATATTTTAAGAATGTCTTAACTTCAAAATGGAAGTCAGAAAATATGCTGCATTAGGGGAGAGGAAACAAAAAGCTATGGATGGAAATTAATAAAGACCAGATTTGATCAGGGGACACCTCCTGAAAATCTTGGCTACAGAGATAAAGAATCAAAAGAAAAACGACAAGACATGTCATGTATATGCTGATCCCTAGACATGGGAACAGCTCTGAGAATGGATGAGACATGATAAATCTTGTTGGCTACAGAGTCTTCGTACTTATTATTACATGCCATCCTTTCATATGGCATATATGGAGGTTTGGTTATTCAGTCCAAACAGACTTATAAAGATAACAGATGCCTTTTACCTGCTCAAACATAGAATAAAAAATCATCTTTAGCTGACTTGTGCACATCACAATTCTATACTTGTGTTAATTCAGATATATATATCTATATATATCTATATCTATATCTATATATATATATATAATCTTTAAAAGTTTGTGTGTTTTTAGAAAAAAAAAAAAAGACCAGAAACACCAATGAGAACAAGTAGTCCAGGTGATCAAGCCTCTCAGAATGCCTCTGTTGCAATTTCCTCAAAATTCTGTATCCAAAACAACTTCAAAGCTGCTAGCTGAGATGGTCCAGCCTCACAGACTATCCAGCCCAGAGTTCAAAAGCTCTAAATTTTCTATCACACAGAGACTAAGCAAAAAATAATAC